ATTGCAGGATATTCTTAGAGGCAAATTTCAGATATGTGGCTGTGTTTTAGAGCATTGTGTTAGTTCAGAAGCAGCAACAACACCATGTGAAACAAAAGCCATTCAATCACATGCCGCTCTGAACACCAAACTGTTTCAAAGGACTGCTACAGAGCAGAACTGTTGGGGAAGTCCTGTCGAACAGCAAAGGGTTGCTCACGTGGCTCCTCGGGGCTCGGGCATGGGTAGGAGGAGACCTGGAATCTGCTGGATAAACTGTTTGCATAAACCATCTCTCTAGCTGTGCTGTAGGTAGAGTCAGCCTTGTACAGTTGGCTGAAGAGTAAAGTTTATTTAATCACTCTGTAACTGAAATCGCAATGATAACTGCAACTCACCATCTACGATTACACTACCTACTGAACACAACAGCTTCAGTAGAGCTGCACGACCAGACAAGGGTTTGGTCCTGACACTCTTTTTCGTGTCCAATTTGTCCTTGTCTATGCGGTATCGGGTGAGATTAACAGAAAGGAGAGAGGGGATTTCGCTCGGGGAAGGTGCCATTCATGACGAAGCCTGCAAGGTGGGCCTAGCTGTGCCCTGCACAGACCAACGCATGCTGGCACTGGGTTTAGCACTTCTCAGCACAGCGTTAAGGAACCTGAGAATTTCCTCCATTTTTGCAAATGGGGCTGGGGGGTCTGCAGCTTGTGCCAAACTCCACGATGCCATGGCTATACAATTAACCCATCCCCAGGATAACTACTTATGTCACAGTCATTTCAATAACCGCAGCACAGCTGTAGAGTCTTTCCCATCCCATATGAGAATTCAAAAACCAGGTTGGAACTTCTTTGCAGTTTCTATCTGCTCCCTAGGTCTTAAACTAAGGGACTAATAACAAATCCCAGGACCAATCATACTAGAATAGGTTACCTTGTTCTTCTGAATTAATATATTACTAATTTTTATAGGTGTTCACCTATCTTAAAAGCACAAGATATAAAAGCCACAAAGTGTTTGCTAATGGCATGGGCATAAACTGTAACGACTGACTTCTGCCTAGTTGATCTCCAGTCTCCTCTGCAACATGCTTACGAAGTGCTGGGTTTGACTGCAATCCCAAATCTGGAAACTGGTCCTTTCCAGCTCTGCACCACCTCTGATCTCTGTTCCCTCCACGCTACCACAGGATAAGAGAGAATGGGATTGCCTACAGCAGATCCAATTCAAGCATCATCTGACCTTTAACGCAGACAAATAGCAGATAATGCAAAGCAAGGCGCAAGCTATGCCTGATGGAGGAGAGCATAGAAAAATCTTTCCTTCAGGCAAGAAAGGCACCAAAGAGGTAGAAACAGACCTCTGTGCACTGGCTGCTGCACTGCTGCTGCTCAAGAGGCGGCAGGAGCAGCAGGCACTGGCAGCTGGAGGTAGCCTAGGGGAAAAGAAAGGAAGGGCAAACAAAGCAGTGCGCTCCAGGTGCCAAATGGCTCGTGACAGCTCCGCTCCTCTTACAGACTGGTGGTATCAAGCTATGAGGTTCCCGATCTTTTTCCAGGCCCTTTCGCTGAAGTCCCTCAATCTCCAGAAGTTCACAAAGCACAGCCAAAGCCACCACATCACCTATCCCTGTTGCTCTCTTCTGCCACTTGCACAGTTCTTGCTCTCAGCAGCATTTGCAGCAAGAAGTTTCACAGGCAAACAGCATGTTGCATGAAGCATTTTTTTGATCAGCTTTGAATTGCCCATCCTTCAGCAAAATTAAATGTAATTTTGCATCTCTGACAAGGGGCAGGGATGGGCTTCAAATCGGCTCTCCTAAATTTAGCAAACTAGTACAAAACTGAGGGGAAAGGGGAGCAGCACCCCTTTAGATATCTGCAGGGTCTCTACACAGCCCTGTGCTAACTGCAAGCAACTGTGTCCACTAGCCACACGTCTCCTCCCCACACAGCCAGTCCTTAGGCCAATGATTAAATAGTATTTTGGCAAGTTAGAGACTATCTTCTCACAAGCTCCCTTACTTGACTCAGATTTACCAATCAATCAATGTATATAGCTCTATCATAATAAAGCCATCATCTATATACACAACCTGTCAGAAATGACAACTCCTCATTCTAATATTATGGGAATATATACGCCTCGGAGAAACACCTGTTGGATCCCTAAAGTGGGAGATAGAGGGAGAAGACAGCAGGAAACCCGCTTCATCATAACAGCATCCACCTTGCCAAAGCCAAGCAGGTTCTGATTTAACAAGCAATTCTTTTGTTAAGGGTTCCTTCTGCCATATACTCTGCAAATTGCATGATTCTTATGAAATCTGATTTTCCTGAGAGACTCGTAAATCCTCCTGCACTGGACTCTGAGGACCTTGAGGATGAGGGCACTGGAACTGACATGCTGCAGTACCCGACAGAGAGACAGAAATAGGCTCTGATTGAGCCACAGTCACTCACTAGAGCCATTAGCAGGTAATCTGGGTCACAAATTGACTGTGCTGTGGGTGCACAGTTATCCCTGTTGGCTCTGCACGAGTCTGGAAAGAAAACAGTTGCATTCACATGAGGCTGTGCATTGCTGTGTCTGCGTCACCTTTCTTGCTCTATCACATTCTTATTTGCGGTCTTTACCACTTACATTGCACTGAACAGAATAACAAAAAAGCACAAGATCCCGTTGCAGACCGTACGAGTGGAACTGCCTCACAAAGAATAGGTACGTTGGACTGTGGGTGTTTCTGAAACGTGGTCCTCCTGGCTGAACATTTGAAATCAGTGTTGCACAGTGTCAGGTGAATAAGCCACTGCTGTAATCAGTCTGTGCCCAACCCACAGACAAACTGGGTCTGTTACAACAGCCCACCATTAAACTCGGAGAAAAACTTGGTTTTATACTGCAGGTAACCCCAGTTCAATACCTTCTACGTCATCCAAACTAGCAGTTTGGTCCAGTGTACCAGAGTCAAACTGAGAGTGCTACAACATGGTCAAATGTTTCTTTTTTTGCCTCTTTCCATAGCCATGACCTAATATAAATCAGTCACTCATGTTCCCATGAATCAAAGTAGATAATGTAGCTCTCAGCTACACTAAAAGATGGTCAGACACATCCAAGATGTTTCAAACTTCATTTGAGGACTAACATAAGTGATTAACAGTTGTCTACAGCATTAGAAGGCAGGGAGTGGAAGTCCTTTTATCAAATTGTTTGCTGCCAACAACTTCCCGCTGACAAGCTATCTTTAAATTCTTCATAATGCCTTTGCAAAGCCCTAAAGCTTTGTTGAATCCTTCGCCTGCAGTCTTTTGACATCAACTCTTCCACTCCTTGTCGTGGGAAAATGTGGCTACAATGAGCCTTAATGTCATGTGTACGCATCGAGGTCTGTGCTCGTTTGGTTTGCCTTCTGTGCTCTAAGTACAGAACAGCAGCAAATCCTCAGGAATCAGAGCTTATTTCTGTGCCCTAAGTTTTGCCCAGAGAGAGATAAAGGGGTAGAAGCCTTCTCACAAAACACCTGGGGACCAGCAAGGCCTGGAAGAGTTGCACCATTGGTTCCCAGAAACCCACACACATGAGGAATCTGTGCATAAAAGTGTCCAGAGAGAAAAAAAAACCTTTAGGTGCCTGCGTAACGCAGGCAGGTTGTTCCAGCAGCTGGATCTGGAAAGCCCTGGCCCACCAGCACAAATGCCCTGACAGCCTTCCCCTGCCTCTGTCCCACAGCCTTGGGGATGGTTTAACGCTTGGCATGTGGGCTGTTCAGTTCACATCCCATTTGGGAATCCTCTTACTGTTTTTTTGAATCACTCCCAGATCTGCACATATGTTAACCTTTTCCTTTAGGGAGGAGTGGAGTTCCACACACAATGAGAAATGCCTGTGCCTGTGAAGGCTGCTACAAAGCCCCTTTTCTCACTCCCAGGCCTGCACTGTGAGAATGTGGGGCTTGTCTGGACTTGGCTTGTTCATCAGCATGGATTATATCACTCCAGTCACAATGCATCAAAGTGCTTTCCTACCTCACAAGGAACTACGAGGCTTAATTAATTGACACAGAAGTATTACGTGTCATTGCAAAATATTATAATTTAGAGTATTCCATCCAATAATTAACACATACATCAGGCAACAAGTAAAACCAATCTTAGAAATGAGTAGTTAAATTCTTCTTAATTACATCCACTGAACCAAATCTGCCCCTAAGCAATGCACATGTAATCCCAGTGAAGTCAGTGTGGTTGTACAGAATGCACTAAAATAAAAATAGTCTGTGGTTATCATCTATATTAGAATCATAGAATGGTAAGCAACCTTAAAGATCATCTCTTTCCAGCCCCCTGCCCTGGGCAGGGACACCTCCCACCAGCTCAGGTTGCTCCAAGCCCCGTCCAACCTGGCCTTGAACACCTCCAGGGATGGGGCAGCCACAGCTTCTCGGGGCAATTTGTTCCACTGTGTCACTACCCTCAGAGTGAACATTTTTTTCCTAATATCTCATCTA